ACACCCCCCCGCGAGCTTTCATCTCGTGCCAAAAACACGTCCCGCTTTCTCTTATTTTCCGGCGTCGCAGCTGAACCGCAGGCAGGAAATGAAACAAAGCGACGGCCGGCGGAGCATGAAGCCGGCCGCCGCTGGAGTTCTGGGCTTCTGCGGGACAAAAGAAATCATTTATTTATTTTCATAAACAGGGATTGAAGTCTTCTTCATTATTTTGCTTCATTCAATAAAGAATTCTGTACTGAAGAGCTGCCGCCTCCGTCTCTTCTCTACACTCATCACATTAAAAACACTCCATTTGTGTGAATTTAATATATAAACATAAAATATATAAACTCTCAGGTGTTTTTAGACCCTGCACAAAACAAATGCTTCTATAGATAAAAATTAATGCTGTAAATATTTTATTAATGATAAAAATCTGATCTGTAAAGTGCTGATGTCACTGAAATCAGTTTAACTCCACAGTGAAGTCCAGGTCAGATGTTATCAGTCACAGAGACACAGTGACTTCATTAGAACTTCTTCTGGGTGAATGTCCTTTGAACAGACGAGAACAAGTCCCTTCAAACATGAAACGAAGAACAGAACCCTGTACCTGCAGTGAAACAGGAGGCTCGGTTCTGTTCTGGACCTGCTTCACTCTGTTCGGTACTATGAAATCTCAAGACTATCAAGGCCTTCTGGAGCTACATGCTGTTCAGAGTCAGAAAACCTGATGACAGGTGATGTGTCCTCCAGCAGGCAACGATCCCAAACACAGATAAAAACAGCCCAGAATCATGGATCAGGACCAAACAGTAAAAACCAGTGTTAAAATTTCAGTGTTAAATTTTTGGGTGTTGATTTAACACTCCCTAGGGTTATTTTAACACTTTAAGTAAACTGACTTCCAGTGTTGATTTCCTCAGTGTTGTCTCTGAACAGTGTTAAATAAGCTCCACCCACTTATATAACACTGAACAGTGTTGTTATGTAACACCATGCAGGGTTGGATAATTAGATAAATAATGTTTTGAGTGATGACTCTTACAAAACAAAAACAGGATGTGTAATAGTCTTACATGATTTACCCCATACCTCTACACATTAAACCAAGTGTGGAACAATTAATGTTAAATAACACAGAGCTTTATCATTAAACAAGTCCCTTACTTTGTAAAGCAATGCAACAGATTTAGCTAGTTTTATTCTTAAGTAATTAACATGTTTCCATGTCAGTTTCTCATCAATAATAACACCCAGAAACTTAACCTCACTTTATCTCTACACCATCAACTCTAAATGGAGTATTAACAGGGGTTTTTTTTGCTCATTGTAAATATCATATAATTAGTTTTACCCAAATTGAGTGATAATTTGTTAAGTTTAAAGCAGTTTTATATTTTCATAAATTCTGTTTGCATTTTTTCTAACATCCATTCTATATCTTGACCTTGACAAAAAAAAGTGGTGTCATCTGCAAATAAAACACATTTAAAGAACTCTGACACATTAAACAAGTCATTCACATACAAGATAAATAACTTTGGTCCAAGTATAGAACCCTGTGGAACTCCACACGTAACTCCACATAGTTCAGACCTTACATCGTGTACTTGTACAAACTGTTTCCTATTTTCCAAATAACTACCGGTAGATATCCACGGTAATGCTGGTCCTCTAATCCAGTATTTATTTAGTTCTTAGTGTGTGAATGTGAGTGTGAATGGGTGAATGTCTGTTAGTGTAAAGCGCTTTGGGGTCCGGAGGGACTTGAAAAGCGCTCTATAAGTTCAGTACCATACCATTTCAAGGAGAATGTTGAATGCTTTCTTTAAATCAACATAAAAACTGGAACAAAGTTGTTTTTGATCAGTAGTGTTTGTTATTTGTTCTGTCAGGTCCATAAGAGCCGTTGAAGTAGAGTTATTGACCAAATCCATATCGACTGCTACTTAAAATATTATTTTTATAGAGAAGTTGGTCTAATCTGATCGCAAATAACTTCTCCAAGACTTTAGAAAACTGTGGTAATATTGGTCTGTAATTACACACTTCTCACCATTTTTATAAATGGGAATTACCTTGGCTATTTTCATATTTGGAAATGTTCCTGTTGAAAATGATAAATTACATATATATGTAAAGGGTTTAATAACATAACCCATTACTTCCTTAACAAACATCATGGAAATTATGTTTTTGTATGTTTATGAATATTAAAGATGTTCATGAGAGTAAAAATGAGTTGTTTAGTTCAGGTTTATCAGTTGATCAAGTGTTTTTGACCATAAATCTTAAACCATGAGAGGTACTTTGATCTAAAGCTTTTGATAACAAAAACTCTCAAAACTTTATTTGAAGCTGTGTAAAACTACATCCCTCTGATCCTGTGGGTCGTGTTAAGCTGGATTAACCCCGTCGGTTCCGGATCATTTCCGTGGGTTCCGGTGAAAGCTGGCGGAGCCGCAGCGGACGGTGGCTCCTCCTCAGGCCGGATCATCTGAGGAGGACTGAACCTCTCGGAGCTGCTGGATCAGCCTCTCTGCTCTGGATTATTATCATCGGACTGTTTCTGGACCTTCTGATCTGGTCTCGGGTCTCCGGGTCGACGTGTGACGGTTCAGGCTCACCGGGAGCTCGGTTCTTCATGCCTCGGAGGCCCCGGGGAGCTCAGACCGCGGAGCCCCGGAGCAGGGCTCGGACACCGGGGAAGCACGAGAGGTAGGTCGGCTGTGGGAGCAGGACTGCTGTGGACCGATGTGTTCGGGTGGGTCCGGGCCGGTGGGAGGGTGTGGATCATGGACCGAGCCGTTCAGCTCGGTTAGGAAGGTTTTTTGTTTGTTTGTTTATTTGTTTGTTTGGAGAAGAAGCTGCTGGCTAACCTGCTAGCATTCCATTGTCACTGTTGTTAGGCTAACATGCTAACAGTAAAGAAATGCTAACTCCTCTCATTAAACGGGTCAGGTCGAACACAGAGGCAGAACTTTGATCCGTCCTGACCTCATACTTTAAACATCATCGTTTAATTTAATGTTTTTATCATTTAACGGGTTCGGGTTGTTGTTGTTCTGTTAGCATGTTAATGAAGCTAATGTTAGCATTAGCATAAGGAAACTCAAAATGTCTCCGGTGACGGTCACCGTGTTGTCCGGTGAGACTGAGTCAGGCAGGGGGACTAACGGGGACCACATCAACCGGTTCAGACCTCTTCGTTTTTAATTGTCACTGGTAATGTTACCGGGAGCGGGCCCTTGTTTGTACGGGGGTTGGTAGTTTGAAACCCGTCAGCCCACAGACAGCGTGGGAAACAACCTTTATTCATACAGATATTACATGATGACACACACTTTCTGCACGTTAAAACAAAAGTGTAACACACACACACACACACACACACACACACACACACACACACACACACACACACACACACACACACACACACATAAATCATAAGGGAGCTGTTAGTAAAGATACACAGTCAAAAATTATCACCAATATTTTTGTTTTATTTAACCTTTTATAAGAAAAAAGAACAGATTTATTTTTCAAAGTCAGTTTTTCACCATATGATTCATACATTTATAAATGTCATAGTTTATAAACTAAATATTTAACTTACAAATTGAATATTTAGATAGCTAGCTAAATATTTAAGTTTCAAGCTAAATATTTAGCTCAAAGTTAAATATTTATCTTGTTAACTAAATATTTAATTTGTAAGTTAAATATTTAGTTTATAAACTATGACATTTATAAATGTATGAATCATATGGTGAAAAACTGACTTTGAAAAATAAATCTGTTCTTTTAACTCATAAAAGGCTAAATAAAACAAAAATATTGGTGTAATTTTTGACTGTGTAACTTTACAAACGACACCTCATAAAATCATCTCATGTTTTAACTAAAACAGTTTCGTATTTATAGAAATCTGTATAAATCTGATTATATTGATGCATAAAACTGGTGAATCATTGATGTGTTTTTTATTTAATTACAGAAAATCTCTTTGGGTTTTTGTTGCAGTGAAATATGTTGAACACAGAAATATATTTTAATTAACTAAAGCTGTTTTTATCTGTTAAAAGAAGTAAAACAGATTTTAAAATGACAGTTTTAGTAAAGCTGAAGAGCTGTTGAAATCAACCAAAGAAGTTGAATCTGAGACATTACAGCTAAAGAAAATAAACAAAATACTTGTTTAAAGCTGCAAAAAGGAAACACTAGTTTAAAATAAGAAATTTAAATGTAACAAAATCTAAAATTAGCTAAGGATAGCTGAAAGGTACTTTCAGCAAATGATTAGATAAAGGCTAAAAGTTATAAAAGTCTGGCTAAATGTAAGAAATGACACTAGCTAAAGGCTTAATGTAGCAAAGAGTCATTAAAAATAGACTAGCTAAACTAATATAAGCTAAAATGATCAAAATATTAACTAAAACAAAAGTAAAATGTTTGCTAAAATACCGAATGGCTAGCTAAATGCTAAAATGTACAAAAGAAAAGTTAAAAGTGTAGCTAACTGAAACTAGAATTATCAAAATAGCTAAATGCAACAAAGACTAGCTAAAAGGATCAAGACATTAGCTTAATGTATCAAAAAGCTTACTAAAAGTAAAAGGATTAGAGGCTAGCTAANTAGCTAAATGCAACAAAGACTAGCTAAAAGGATCAAGACATTAGCTTAATGTATCAAAAAGCTTACTAAAAGTAAAAGGATTAGAGGCTAGCTAACAGATCTGAAAATGAACCAAATATAACTTCAAAATAAAAAGTTAAATGTTAGCTAAAAGTGTCAAACAAAAGACGAGCCAAAAGCTTAGACTAGCAAAGGATGTAAAGGTATTTACAGCAAATATTTAGGTAAAAGCTAAAAGTCTAGCTGAATGTAATATGTGACTAGCTACAAAGATCAACACTAGCTAAAGGCTTAATGTAGCAAAGAGTATTTAAAAATAGAAATACTAGCTAAAATAATATAAGCTAAAATGATCAAAATGGCTAGTTAAATGCTAAAATTTACAAAAAGGAAAGCCAACATTTAAAAGTGAAGCTAATTGAAAAGTAAAGCTAGAATTATCAAAGTAGCTAAATGCAACAAAGACTAGCTAAAAGGATCAAGACATTAGCTTAAAGCTTAATGTAGCAAAAAGCTAATAAAATTAAAGGACTAGAAGGCTAGCTAAGAAATAAAAAAACTAAAATGAGCCCAATATAACCTTAAAATAAAAAGTTAAATGCTAGCTAAAAGTGTCAAACAAAAGACAAGCCAGAAGCTAAGGTTAGCTAAAAGCTAAAAGGAAACTTGACGTTGAATCTTTTTTTGAATATTTAACACAAACAGACTGTTCAGGATGTATTTAATAAATACTTCATACTTCAGTATTTTCATTCAGCTTTACTGTAAAATGTTTGGATGAGTTAAAGTTTATTTGAACCTTCAGGAAGCTGAACGTCAGATTAAAAACCTGGTTGGTCGGTCCTGAAGAACCCAGGAAACGGTTCTGATCCAGACCTCTTCTCTTTGTTTTATCTGGAAATTTACATCAGTTTATTAAAACATTAAAAACATCTGTAAATAAAATATTTAACCTAAAAACAGTTTAAGATTATACTTTTACCTAAATCCATCCAGTAACTGAAGAGATATTTTGCTAACAGACAGACGGGGGTAACGTCACAGTTCTTGGTTGCAGTACTTGTTGAGGATGACTCTCAGCTACTACCACACCAGAGTTCAGCTCAGCATCCATCAGACTGACTCACTGGTAGCTGCTGTTTGTGTGATGGATGATAGAGTAGCTGTGGCGGCCATCTTTGGTGGGACTGTCTTCTCATGGTTTCATTCAAATTTGTTCAATGTTTGATGAGATATTTTGCTAACAGAGGTAGAATACACTATGACAAGCAGAGCCTTCCTGCCTTCATCAGTCGCCAACGAATAACTGACTTCCTGTTCTTAGAAACATGTCGGGAGGAAGTGTGTGTGTGTGTGTGTGTGTGTGTGTGTGTGTGTGTGTGTG